CTGAGACCCAGCAGGGAGCACACTTGCCCAAGGTCACAGAGGCCATGGATGGAAGAGCTAGGATCTGAACCCAGGTCTGCCTAGCTGCAGACTCTGAATCTGCTTGGCCACTTCACTTGAGGTCCTCCATCGCAGCCAACTGCCTTCTGTTTGCGTGCGACTCCTCCACCTACTGACCGTCAGCTCCACAGGACAGGGTGGAGGTCATTCATCTCCGTATACCTGGCCTTCACCAAAGGGTTTAGCCCAAAGCAGGAGCTCAGCAAACTGCCGAGTGAATGCCCACATGGAGGAAGTGACACCTCGTCTCTAACAAAGTTGCCCCAGAAATGCTCCAGGATGATCCTCACAGAGGCCAACCCGACCAAATATCCGCGACCCCTGGTCGAAATCAACAGGTGCCTGCTCATCTCCCTCAGGCCTGCTCCCCCGCAGCCCCGCCCCAAGGGAGGGGTGAGCAGCCAGCCATACTTCTGAGGAACAGAGCGATGGGGCTCAGCAAGCTGGGCAGGTCAGTTCTGAATTTGGCCTTTTTTCTGTCTCCCCATCTTATCTTGCAGCATCTGAAGCAAATATTTCTTTCTTTTTCCCATCCCTTAGTGGGACAAGTATCACCAGCCATATCCGAAGTCCACAGCTGGTATATGGCGCAGCATGTGCCTGTCTCAGAGTTGGCGCTCAAATACTTGGGGGACGAAGTAAGAGAATCCACAGCCTGGGTTTCACCAGACCTGATGGCTTACCGATCGGAGGCTGCCGCTATGTGGTGGCGGGACTTGTATGAGCAGAGGCCCATCCCAACGCCCACCAAAAGCCTCCCGTGCAGATGCAGCAACGATGCCGGTGGAGGCCCCCAGTGCAGGCAGGAGGCAACAAGCATCAGGCAACTCATGCAGTAGCGTTTCCGTCAAGGCGTGTGCACGATGAAAGTCATGGGAGCACGAGTGGGAGTGTCACTCGTGCCCAGAGTTGGGGCACTTTCACAGAGGAGGAGAAATGAGCTGGGAGGCCATTCACCAACCACCCAGGGAGAGGTCATTGTTTCCTGCCTCTGGGGCCCCCACACTGTTCACCTCCACACCATCAGGCCCACCACCGTGTTCTGTCGTCGGTGACTTTTGTGCCTGTCTCTCTGCACAGGATGTGACCATCTCAAGGGCAAGGACTTTGGGAATTCTCTGCAGCTCACCCTCAACTTTAAGTAAATATCTGCTGACACAGAATAAGAGTCAACTTTAGATTATTAATGACATGCCAGCCACCTCTTCTCGAGAATCTACCACACCTGCTATTGCTGCAGGCGCTCTGCCTGCATGGTCTCAGGTCCCCTACGCAAACCAGACAGACAGACCCCACTATCGTCACCCACTCTCCAGAGCAGGAGGCTGAAGCACAGGAAGATGAGTAAACCATCTTCAGTGATACAGTGAGTGACAGAGCTGAGCTTTGAAGCACATGTCAATGAAAAATCAGTTTCAGTTACTAGTGAAAACATCCCTTTTCCTTTCTCTGTCCTCTGCCTTGAATCCAAATACACAGATTGCCCTCTAGTCTACTGTTCCCTGGGGTCAGAGCCATTTCTTTCCTAGAGGAGAACAAGGGCTGCTTCATGTAATTCTTCTAAACAAACAATGGCTGCTAACCATTACTGAGTAAACATCATGGGGGGTTTGGAGTGGAGAGAAAAGTTACACTTACAATATCAGTCAAAAACATTTATTAAAGAGGAACACTATGTACCAAATGAAACTTTTCCAATGTTGGGACAATTCCCAAATAGATCAAGTTAATAAAAGAAGGAGCACGAGTATGGGTAGAATATTATTATTTGTGTGAGATGCCTAATAAACAACACATGGCAGCAGTGCCTGCCTCTGGGAGAAGGACAAGGGGCGGAAGTTCAACACAAGAAAGAGAAGTACTTTGTTCCCCTTTGAACTACCTGCTTTTTAAAAAATCCATGGGTGATTTTTTTTAATTTTTTAAAAAATAAGATAAAAACATCATTTAAAGATACCACTTATTCCCAGGCCTTTCCCTAATATTCACATACGTATGATTGTAAACATGAAAAAGTCTGCATGTTCATGAACATACATGGGAGGAACTTAATTTGGGGTGAAAGAAGCCTGTTAAACCCCTTTTGTAGTCATGTTGAGGTTCACGAACTTCATTAATGTTGCAATATTTTTTTGTGCCAGGCAAAGTGCTAGACAGATATTTTTAAAAGAAGACCCAAAGAACAGGTTACTAGTTTCCTCCTTCCTGTCTTTCAAGAAAATATGAGAGCATGCTAACCAGAATGCCAGAGCCAGGACCGCACTTGACACTCACACAGCCGAACGCCATTCTCACTTGGCTAAGAAAACCAAGGCCCGGAGAGGGGAAGGGATTTGACCAAAGCTACATGCGAAGTGAAAGCCCCGGAATCGCCAGTCCTGCTCTCCTCATTTGCTACATGCTGTTCTGTTGTGTTGAAAGGCGGGGAGGCAGGGAGAGGCAGAAACGGATCCTAATATACAGGGTCCAGGACAAACAACACCTCTTTTTATTACGAAATAAAAGCAAGCGATTCTATAACACAACAAATTTACACTCAAGCACACCACATGACATTTTAGGTGAAATGCTCAAATTAAAACTATAAATTATTGCATCAATATTATTACCCTACCAACCACACTCAAGCAGGCCTTACTTCTACTGGACCCTGTATATTGAGTGCCTAATATATCAGGTGCTTTCACATATCTTGTCTCATTTGTTCTTCATAATAAGCTCTCGAGGCTGGCATAAACATCCTTGTTTTAAAAATAAGGAAACCCAAGCTGTGAGAAACGAAGAAACTAGTGCATGAAGCTTCAAATGCAGACCTGTATTCCAAGCCAGAGATTTTTCCCTCCACACTGAAAAGGAAAATTGAGTTAAAAAGGCGGACTGGGCTATGTCATAGAGCCTCAGATGCAATCTTTTCATTAATGAAGTTTCTCTCCAGACCCTGGAAAGTGTTACTGTAATAATAACAATCAAAAAGCCTAGCCCCTCTCTAACACATGTTCTAGCCCTTGTCTTCCACCAAGCCTAGGCCTTCCCTTTAACCCACAGAGTGTGGGGTTTATCAGAGGGCGGCAATGTCCAACAGCCAGGTACACAGTTCCTACTGCGACAGAATGGGACAACTCACACATGCTGCTTCTAGACCCTGTAGGTACCTGAGATGCCATCCCCATGATGCCACTAGGTCACCACAGCAAAACTGGTGGTAGTGACAGTGGCCAGCACCAGGGCAGTTGGTCTCCAAAAGTCTCATATCTTCTAAAGTGAAGAAAAACGCAAACCAGTACAGGAGAAACCTTTTCCCGCCTTCTCTCCTGTCCGTGCAACACAGGAGGAATGGCAGTTCGGACAGGTCTACTCAGGACTGAAGGCACTGCGCAATAAAAGGCCACACACACAGGTATGGGACCCTTGTCTCAACAGGAGGGAGCCCCATCATCTTGCTTTCTTCTCTCTGCCCTGTAGAAACTTAATGAAGTTCTGGCATTCTCCTCAATTCAGTGTGGGAAGTTCAGGGTTTGTCCTTGAACCAGAAGGGGAATTCCATAAGGCTCAAACCTAAGCCTCATATTCCAGGTCAGAGTCCTCACTGGGGTTAGGTTCTAAAGGTCAGCACACAATTAAATGCTCCTCTGCTTCCCTTCTCCCCGTGCTCCCTCCATGGCTCCCTCAGCCTCACAGGGAGGAGCAGTCGCCACCAGAGGCAGGAATGAGTCTTCTGGGGACTCCCTGCCACAAGCCTCGTCCCAAACTCAAACAGAAAATGGTCTAGAAATCCCCTCCTCTTAGAAATCTCCTCCTCTTTAGACCCCAGTTCCAGAATCCCACCTGCCCATCAACGCAGATGAGGGAAACTCACATCTTCACGAGGGCGTGCTCAGTAAGGAAAGTTCCTTCCTATCCTCTCAGACAAGGCAGTTACAATGATGCTCATTTTGCAAAGGAGAAGACTTTCTGAGGTAACACAGAAGCAGAAACTTCTGAACCCTCATATCTGTTCTTCCCCCCAACCAGGCTGCCATTTCGGGCTCCTGGAGGCTGCTGCTGTTAAGATTTGCAGCAGCTTCTCTATGAGGAGCCAGAAAGCCAAGACCCTTCAAGTTTCACACTAGCTACTCTTCAAGCACACACACTTCTCACCAGCTGATCATCGAATGAAAGCCAAGCGCCGTCCCCCAACCTAGGCATGGCCCCTGCAAAAGCAACAGAAGCCCCTGAGACGTGAAAAATGGTACGTCCCAGAGCCTGACAGAGGGGAAGCCGCCAGCCTAGTAACCAGGACAGCTAGACCTAAGTCCTACTCAAGAGAAGACAGGCAGGCCTGGCCGGCCCTCCTGGCCCAGTGGCAACCCTGGAAGCCTCCAGAATCCTCAGAAAGCCCAAAACTCCTGCTTCCACCCAAACCCCCTGGACAGCAGAGAGGGCAGCATCTCCCGAGCCCACTCACCTCTGCTCGCTCCTCACCTGGGGCCCGCTTCCGGACCTGCAACCACTCAAGGCCCCACCCCCCCAACCCCCCCGCTCCGGCAGGTCTACCGAGCCCCGCCCCTTGCACCTGTGGTTTCCTTTGACACAAGCTCTCCGGCCGCTTTGGCCTCACCAAGCAAACCTGTGGTCCCACCTGGCCCCGCCCTCCGCACCTGGGGCCTTTTGCCCCACCCAACTGCCTCCGCAAGCCCCGCCCCCCGACCTGCGGCCTCGCCCCACCTCCACCCCTACACCCACCGCCCTCTGTACCAAGCCCCCACCGAACCAGAGCAACGAAGGCCCCCGGTCGGCCCTCGCGCCCGTAAACCCGCCCGACCTAACCCCCCCAGGCCCGCCTCCCGCCCTGAGGCCCCTCCCCGGCCCAGCGGCCTCTCCAGGTCCCGCCTCCTGCACCTGCGGCTCCCTCCAGCCCGGCCCTCAGGGCCCCGCCCCGCCCCTCGGGCCGCTCTTCTCACCGCCCGCTCCCGCCGCGGATGCCGCTGCAGTCCCGGCCGGTCACCTTGACGCGGGCCGCAGTGTCTGCCGCCGCCTCCTCATGGCCCTGGGAGCGGCCCAGGCGGCAGCGGCGCCTTCGCTCGGAGGCCAGGGCCGGGCCGAGCCGGGCCGGGGCCGGGCCGGGCGCAGCTGGAGCGCAGGCCGACGCTGGAGCAGAACCGGTGCCCAGCCGCAGTAGAAACCGTCCGCTCCTGGGCCTGAGCGGCGGGCCGCCCAGCCAATCGGCGTGCAGCTCCCCACTAGCCTTCCCAATCAGCTGGTCGCAAAGGCGGAGACACGCCAATCGGACGGCTGGGTGCGCCAGTGCGCAGCCGCCACGGCCGCGGTTCTCCACGGACTCGGCCCCGCCGCTCCTGCGGGTGGACGCCGTCAGACTGCAAGGATGCTCAGCTGCCCGCTCAGCAGCCTGCCACGCCCATCCCCTTCCTAGAAATAGCATCGCATCTCGTTTCCCACGAATCCTTCCAGCTCTCATGCAATTTCCCCTAAAATTTCTACCTAGGATTTATCGTTTTCAACAAGAAATGGTTTTGTGACAGACATCACCTTAATGCCCATTCTTTACAACTGGGAGGTAGGCACGGAACACAGACCTTAAGAAACCCAAAGAGCCTTGAGTCCTACCCATTTATTTTACACCTGGACAAAATTAGGCCTCATGAGTCAAATGCCCCAAGACCACATGGATGCAAAGCTGGGAAATGAGACTCTCTTGTCTCCCTCCTGCCAGATCCTTTACTCTGCCAAGTGCAATGAGGTGAATAGAGAGGTGAAGTCGCAGAGATAATAAGTTGCGAACAGTCAAAGCCAGGCCTGTGAAGCCTCGGAAATCCGGAACCACACACACACACACACACACACACACACACACACACACATCTCTGTTCCGCATCCCATTGAAGAGAGGCCCTATGTCCTGCCTTGCTCTGGTGACTCTTGGAAAACACAGACAAGTAGAATGTCTTTTTGACAATTTTCAAATTCACTTTGCAATAGCATCAGAATATGGAAAGATTTCGTTACTCTGCTTCCCCAAGCTGATGCAGGGAGGGAAAGAAATAAACGAGGAAGAAAAGAAACAAAGTCAGTGGAAATTAAGCCATTTCTAAGTCTTCAGGGATCTCTGAGGGAAACTTCTGCCATTTCTCATTAAGAAAACAGTAATAGTCAAAGAAGACACTTAACTATCACCCATCCTTAAAGTGCCATATGCTGGTGGAGAGGGCCAGCTCTCAAGCATCTCAAGTGTTTGAGTCACTCTCAGTGAGGGGAAGGATCTTTTGCCTCATTGGAGGAAAGGAGAGTTGAAAAGGTCACCAAGGGGGATCCTCCAGGTCAGCTGCCTCTATGTGGACTTGGACTTCCTGGAGAGCCCAGCTTTGGAGCAGTTCGAGGAGCTATTTTCATTAGCGATGCTGATCAACGAGGCAGCTGTGGCCCCTGGACTCTAGGGTGGCCCCCATATTCCCTACTTCCTGATGTCCATGGCCTGTGTGATCCCCCCTTCCCTGAGTGTGGAGGTTTGGGGATGTATGTTATATAATATTATAATCCATCTTGATAGGAAAATCTCTTCTGCTGGCTGTGAAGAAGCAAGCAGCCCTATGGAAAAGACCACTCAGAAAGGAGTTTCAGGCCAACAGCCAGCAGGAAACTGGGACCCTCAATGCAGCAACTGAATGATGCCAACGACCACATGAGCTCAGACAGGGATCCCTCCCGTCTAGCCTCAAACGGGGCTGCATCCCTGGCCAGCACCTGGATGACAGCCTTGTGAGATCCCGAGGCAGAGAGCCCAGCAAAGTTGTGCCGGACTCTTGACCCACAGAGACTGACGTAATAACCGTGCGTTGTTATAAGCTCCAAATGGGCGACAAAACTGTCGCACAGCAACAGAGGACTGCCATAGATCCTGTGGGGCGTCAGGAGACAGAGGAGAGGATATACAACAGAGCACCATCCCTGGGGTACAGATAACAGTCCCAGTGGAGGTGCCCCAAGGTGAGTCATCAACATGGGCAGCTGGCGGACACAGGAAGGACAGGAATTGAGAATGAAAGTTTCAGTTGGGTCCCTTCCTGGGAACAATGCTGGCTTTGCCACTTCCCAGCCACACGGTCTTACTTAGACAAGAATCCAAACCTCTCTAAGCCTCAGTTTCCTCGGGTATAAGAAGGTAATATTCAGAGTGCCTACTTTGTAGGGTTCTCCTGAGAAAGGTGAGTTATGAGTCATGGCCTCTAGTGGCCATGAGACTGCACCTGTGGACCTCCAAACACTGGGAGCTCATTTGACCAAGGGCCTGGCTATGGTCTTTGAAGCCAAATACAGTCACACCTTGGCACTCAAGAGCTTCAGAACTTGTGAAACCTTGTACCCATCGAATTTAAATATCTTAGCACTCAGTGCTTGCTCAGGACTCTTCACACTTGCTAGAACTTGTATGAGTCACACAGACTCCCAAGAGAAAAGGCTTCATTGTTCAGTACTTGTCAGTTTCAGCACTTGTCACGAGTTCTGGAACGAATTAATGATGAGTACTGAGGTACCACTGTAATGCATTTACACTGAGGGAACGTACATGGGCTGCACCCAATGGCAGAGATTCTAAGGTGGACCTGTCCCTGGGTGACAATGGGACTCTTCCGATGGTCATTTTTAGTTCATGGGCCACCCAGCAGGCCTCCGAACTCCCTCATAGGGCACTGTGGTGTAGGACGCTTCCACACTGCCTTCCCTCTCTCCTTCACTTGGGGTCAGACTTGCGTCACAGCCTGGTAGCTCTCTCAGCCCTCCTCAGTCCCCTGCCCTCTTCCCTTAGGGTTGGATCCTGCGTTGGCATCTGCTTCTCAGTGAACCTGGACTGGCACAAGAAGTTCCAGGAATGGTCAGGGACATTAGGACTGGCTCACCACTGCCCAGCAGGCACACCGGCTGTTCTCCTGGTGGAACACAGGTAGCCCCTGGCAACAAGGTGTGGCTCCAAATGCCAAGGTTTCACTGGCAGTGTGACCTGCAAAAATATCACTGTGGAGAATACTGTGGTAGGTGCTATGATGTCAGAGCTTGAAAAAATGGAGAAACTGATGTTGATAAAGACAGAGGAAGCTAGTTGGTTGGTTTCAGCTAAGTTGTACCACAGAAATCCTTCTGTGGTACAGAGACGGCAGGCTGTTAAGGAGCCGTTAATGGCTGAGGGCGAGAGCTAGAGAACTGTGGAGGTGGCTTGCAAAGAGACCCTCATCACTTATGGTAGTGGAAGAACAGACATGCTGCGTGGTAGGCTGAAGACCTGATTATCAGCGTCTAGAGCTCCAGAGATGTATGAATGCCCAGCAAGGCAAGTCTGTTGCGGTGAAGGTCAGGGCCCTGGTGGGAAAAACCTAGGATCCTAAAACATGGGATAAGGCCACCTGGATGGGTGTTCCTGACGATGGTGGCTCTGCAGCATGCACCCCAGATTTCCAGACTTGCCAAGCTGACACACCTTTTTTTTTTTTTTTTTTTTTCATAAGAACTTGAGCCACTATGGATCTGGCAGGTGCTACAGGAACCCTTTCTCATGGCCAACAGGTGCCCCTGCCTTCAGTGCTGCCCCCACCTCCCTCCAGACTGCTAGGGTGGTAACTAGTGTTAAACCCCAACAAGCCCAGCTGGGTACCACTGGGACTGGCAAGGGGCAAAAACAGACTATATGCCTGAAGAATGAAAGAATTAGTCATCATGTACCAGCAGAAGCCATGGCAGTAACTCTGGGGTTGAATTTTGTGGGTGCTCAATCAAGGAAGTGGGAATATAAGACTAGATAAACAAGAGTTCATTGACTTGGGGACACTTTCTCAGGACACGAGATTTAACACCCCAGCAAGGACCCCAGCTACTGCAGTAGCTCTTAGAAGCCTGGCCCAAACCCATGGCCAGTGCTCAGTGAGATGGAGGTACCCGAGCTGTCCTAGTCAATGTCAGAAGAAGTGGGCGTGCTGAAATGGACATACAATGGACCCTCACGATTCATGGTTTCCGTATTTGCAAATTAACCTGCTGCTAAAATGTATTTATAATCCAAAAATTAATACTCGCAGCACTTTCAAGGTCATTCACAGACAAGCAGAAAAAAATTTGAGTGACCCCGATGTGCACGTTCCCAGCAGAGGTCAAACAAGGTGACACGCTGCCCTCTTGGTCAGCTCTCATACTGCTAACGTGTCTTTTCTGCAACCTAGTTAGTGCCACATTTTTTGTCATTTTTGAGCTTTTTGGTGGTGATTTCTCTGTTTAAACTGATCCCCAGGCGTTGTGCTGAAGCGCTGTCTGGTGTTTCCGGTAAGCGCAGGAAGGCAGTGAGGCGTCTTTCAGAGAAAAGAGCATGTTTTAGATAAACTTGTTTCAGACATGAGTTAGAGAGGTGTTGGCCATGAGTTCGAGGTTAAGGAATTAACAGTCTATTTTAAGGGGTCTTTAAACAGAAGCACACATAAAACAAAGTTATGTTTTGATGGGTTCCCCAAAATACATGGGGGCTCACAGCAACCTAATCGTGTCTGTCCTGCTGGAACAGGCCAGAAGTCGATGACTTAATTGGCATTCACAATGATTGGATAGGCCACCTTACTGCAAATAACAAGTCAACTGTACTTGTCATTGGTAGACTCTAACTAGTAAACTCTCTGGCAGGGAATGCTGGGAAATGTAGTTCCCCTAAGCATCCAGACCCTGTGATCCATGGGGGACCACAGGAGGGGGAATGGTGCTAAACTGCTGACAGACAATCCAGTACAGCGTGTTAAACCATTTTAATGCTTTAGAAATGTTCATGGTTGGCCTAAGGTTTACAATGTACATCTTTAAGTAGAGTCTATTTTCAAGTAATATCATTTCACGTGTAGTGTCAGGATCTTAGACTCCGAGGAAACATGTAATGATAGAAGGAAGCAGCTCCCGCTCCTGGGGCTGACGGGGCAAAGGAAAGGTTCTGATCGTCGATTCCCATGTGCGCAAGGGATACAGTGTTCCCCGTATCAGCTGGGTCTCCTACATATCGATCCAATGCTGCCACTACCCACCCAGAGATAGCATCAGAGCCCCCCCAAAGGAATAATCCAATTTTTTTCTGTCTAGGCTTAGACCATTATATCCAGAGAGCACCTGACTCTTTATGCATTTCCACCTTGGAGGCAGAGATGTGCTGGGTGTGCCTTGAGAGCAGAGAGCTCTGGCTCTCCCAGTGCCTGCAGCTGGCCATCCCCTGGCTACAATCCGAAGTGGGGCCTCGCAACCGAGCCTGGGGGCAGGAGGTCCCTGGAGGCCCATTCTGGGAAAAGGGGACCCACGCAGTGGAGGGAAAGAAGGCAACTAATAGTTTAGTTATTGAACACCTATCATTTCACCAGAAGCCTGGCCAGGAGCTGGCAGGTAAGAAGGGGTGAGTAACTGATGCCAGAGGATGGGGAGGCAGTTATGTTGAAAGGGGAAAGAGAAAATGATAAGAAGCCAGTGAATGCTCCCTCTGCAAAGATGAAATGGAGCAAGACAGGAATTTCTGTGCCCGGCTGAGTTGGCGCTGCTGCCTGTGAGATTAGGCAAGCCAGAGGGCCCTGGGGGGCTGGAGCATCAGTCATACGGGGAGAGAGAATGGGTGTGAGGCCTCGGTGGAAATTCAGAGGCCAGAGTCCATTCTCTGAGCCCAGATCTCCCAGATCAAAGGTGCCTTTCAATTCTCACCGTAATATTTGGAGATGTGAGGGAAGACAGTGAAGAAGCTGAGGAGTTAACAAAAACCTGAAAACCAGCTCCAGGGAGCCGACGTGTGATGAATGGAACATCTGGCAGAAACAGGCTAGTTAGAATAACGGTCACACAAAAGTAATTTGCTTGCCAAAGAAGTGTTCTTCCAAGTTATGGATTCCACCACCTCAAATTCCAACAAGATGCTTTCGGAAACATGTCTCCTAATCATGTTTGTTAAAGTCCTGAAGTGGAAGAAGGTGGGCAGACAGAAAGGGGAAGGGTGTCCCCATGTCCTGGCCTCTGGGAAAAATAGCCCAAAGTCACATTTAGCCTACAAAAGCCCCGGAGGGCCAGAAGGAGACAGGACGGCTGTCACTGAATATTCAAAGTACGCCTTGGTCCTGTGAAGTAGGGATAGAGAATCAAGAAAGGGTCTAACTCCAGGGCGGCGGGTTTGGGGCTGAGGATAAGGAAGGACTTTCGGTCATGGAAAGCTGTCAACAATGCAGAGTCCCTTGGGAGGCAGCCAGGCTCCACAAGCAAGTAGAAACTGGAGATCACTTCTGCAGAGCACCCTAGCAGTCCCAGTATTGGGAGTTGGGGAGCAGGGAGCCCGGTGGTCCCTTCCTACTCTTGGGAAAGTGTGAGAGTCTGTCCTTTCCACCTCGAGCACTCTGGGAAAGGGGACAGAATTCAAAATGACTCACTGTCCAATTTGCACATTTCAAAGCGCACACACACACTCGCACGACACCTGAAAGTAGTACAAACTTGCAGGACCCGTTCTAGCTCAGCTAGTTGGGCCACGCACAGCTCCTAGCGGGGCCCAGGGCACAATAGGGGCAGATCTCGTGTTGACACAGAGTGCCCCAGGGCTGATCACAGTGCCAAGGCTGAGGCCAAAAGGGGTGAAGAAACATTTTGAGTGCAAGCCTCACTGCCTCCCCAGCAAAGCTGGAGGTGGGCTGGTCTACAGAGCCAGAGGAGCCAGCACGACCACCAGCAAGACCCGGCTAGCTGCCCCAAAAGGGAACGTGACTTATCCCATGAGGGCCCAGTCAGGCTGATTAGATTCAAGCTCTATTAGGGCAGAGTCAGGAACGAAAGAAGTCCTAGAAAGCAACCTCTCCCAAAGATGAGAGGCAGGGGACCTATTTGCTGTTTGAGTTGGAGAGGAAAGGGAGGCAGTTCGGCACCTGCCGTCTTGGGCAGGTAACCCTGTGGGTGATTGCGTTATAACCCACGGTTCTTAGGTATGTATATTCCTCCACCCCCTCATTTGGAGCAACAAGACACTGGCCGACCAAAGCTGGATCAGCAAGCTCTATTTGCACACGTCTCGCCCAGCACTGCACAGTGATCACCCAGAGAGAGCTCCGCACACTCGCCCAGGTTGATGTGTTCTTCAACATGTTTCCTTGGAGGTGGCCTCTTTTCGAGTTTGTGTTCTGAAAAGGTATGCAAGTTAGGCCTGGTGTGAAAAACAAAGGGAAAACATCAAATGAGATGTTTGAGTCATTGAGGCATGAGGAAATGATCCAGGAAACAGAGATGAGGACCAGCAAACAACAGGGGACTGGCAGTGACCCTCTGACACTGTAAAGGATATCATACATGTCCCTGTGGCCAGGCAGGTGTGGCCAGTGTGTGAATTATAATTGGAAGAAGCAAGTGAAAGCAGCTCATGCTTTCAGGACAAACGGAAGGAGCCGGCTGCTGCCAACGGCCTGTGCCAGCAACGCAGTTCAGTACAACCACACATCTGCTCCGACTTGGTGTCTGCTTCGGGTGGTGCTCCTATTTCCAGAACCACATTCCTTGGGGATGTTCTTCTAAAGGAGAGGCTCACCCCTGATCCTTGACCCTGGGCTGCTTCTCCAGCTTTAAGGAAAATGCCACTGCCTCGCAAGTTACCTAAGCCACAGGAGTCCAACTTTAACATTTTGGACAAACTGGGGCTAAAGAGGGTGAGTCAGGGCCAGGCAAAGCCATGGATGGCTAGACACCAGACCTCCAAACTTGCCAGTCAATGCACTTTCTCCATCATGCCTTTGGGCACCTCAGGAGTCCCCAGGCCTCCAGCTAGCAAGTGAAGTGGGTACCTACATTGCCTCTTGCACTGTGCACCAGGTCACGGCCCACTCGCCTATAAAGCACCCTAGTGAGAAGGGAGAGACCTTGCTTTACACCAAGTGGGTTCTAGCAGCATAGGAGCCAAGTTTATTCCCCACCCACTTCCCAGCTTGGTCACCCCCCTCCCCTGCTGTCCCCAGAGCACATGCATTTGCTCATTCATTTGGTCCTTAATGTGTACCTGCCTGGGTGACAGGACCAGGATCACTTTTGTCATGGAACTTACACACCGGAGGGAGAAAAATTAATTGAATACTCTCACTAGTCAATGGTTTATTTACCAAACAAAATAAGCACTCTGAAGGGCAGGCACAGAGCAACAAAACTCTGTTACAGGGGCCTGACCTAGAGGGGTTGCTGCAGGGCAGTGCTCCCCAGAGAAGCTGAAATCTGAAGAAGCAGCTGGCGACAGCAGAACAAGCTCCTGCAGCTCCAGGCCCTCTGGCAGGAGAAGAGGGTACATTCGAGGGCTCCGCAGGCCGGAGGGAAAGGGTTCCCCAGGGGTCCCTCTGGGAAGCCTGTGGGCTCACCGGGGTCCTGAAAACCCGGTCTTTGCCACACATGAGAAAGGCCAAAAATCAGCCAGCTTCTTTGTCCTCTTTCCAGCACCACTGTGGCACAAGAGCTTTTATGAAATCCTAACCTTTCAAAAACAGTGGTTACAGGAACGATAACATTGTGGATGCTCATCAGAGCCCGTGGGACTCGCCAAGGCCCCCAGGGGCAGACACAGAGGGAGACACTTGCTCTAGCAGCATTTTTATTTACAAACGGCAATTTCAATGGACTTTATTTATACCATAAAAAAGCCATTTACAAGCAAGAAACATGGATTCAGAACAAAATTAAGCAGCACTGAAATAGTCATGTCACAAATTGAAAACAAAATGAATACAAGAGTAAAATATCATTTGAATAAATAGTTTTAAATTCATGCTATAAAATAATCCTTAATGGCAAGTTACTAGTTGATACAGCATCCGCTTAGCTAGCTTCATTTACTTCATATGGTGATGAAGTGTGGAGTTGTGAGGTTACCAGTTTATATTGCAAGATAATGACACTGTCGAGTCATTCAAATTGCTCAACCATTTGTAACGGAAAACAACGTCAGCCCTACTAATACAAGTGGTGAGAGATGGTTTTCACATTAGGAAAATGGTCGTTCTCAAAGGGAGCAGGTCAATTTATCTCCTGCTCCACCAGGGCAGCAACCAAAGGCTCAGGCAGCAAGTCCAAAGGTTGAATTCACAGCATACTTGTCACGGAGGGGCAGCAGGAGGTGCGTTCACTGCGCCTGCTGCCAGGGGCACTCCAGGACTTGGTCAAGAACTACAAGAGCCCTGTCTGCGCAGACCCAGAGAAAGGGGCTCTCTTCCGGGCTGGGAGGTCGAGCACTGGGCAGAGACAGGGGACACGCTCCGGCACGTACTGGAAAAGATGCGTGTGGTGTGTGACCACCATTACAAATCTGGAACAATGTGAATGACTCTGCTGAACGTTCCATTCAGCTGCACTGAGTAATATGAAATCTATGACTTATGAACTAGATAGTTTCATATAAAGAATTTACATAATTCCCCAATACTTTCATATATAAAATTTAATAAATAACCCTGACCGGTCTAGAAGCACCATTCAAGGGGCCTGTGCCCTTGGAAAATAGTTTAGGTGTTGCATATTTGAGTCCCTTTCAGTGGAGGCTTCACAGGAAACCATTACAGAATTTAACGGCAACGACGGACAGGACGACGACAGAAAATCACAGTCACTGAGAGAAAAGTTGTGGAAACAAAATGCGCTGATTTCTTGAAAGTAAAGCTCACTCACGTGAACGATTTCTCCCCCTCAGCCCTTGTGTCGTGTCCCCGCAGAACCCTCCCACGGCCTAGGCTGCGAAGACAGAAGTAACAGCAAAACTGCACACGCGTGTGCGGGCCCGTGTCTGGGCTGAGGGGAAACAAAGACTGGGTTGTAACCGCTGTCATGAGAGAAGACATTTGCTCATGCTCTGGAAGATTTAGAAATGACCAATTTAGTTCTACAGTATATTCTGCTTAACAGTGAACCGACAGTATCCTTTCTATTAAAAAAACAAAAACAAAAAACCCATAAAAACTGCCAAGGCAGAGCCAACTGGGAGGTTTTCCACTGACCAAAAAATTAACGTGTCTTCATATACTGTATTTACAAATATAATTTCTAAACATATTTACAGCTTTAGTAGAAATCAGAGGGTAGAGAACCGATTAAAATGAAAATAACTGTTTAGAACCACAAACGTACATAAAGTATAGAATTCTTTGTTTTCACAGTTTGTAGTAACAGGTAAAACCCCTACAGAAAAGGACGCGGTCACTGTCTTCACATTGTCTGTGTGTGGGAAAGGTAGCTCACAGAGAGACTCAATTATGAACAAACCTGTATGAATTCAGGATATATTTTACTGTAAAAGACTTCTTCACATATCACTTTTATCTTAATTGATTTTTGCATTTGTCATAAATGAAACATCTAATCTAAAACTGTACAGAAATAGGGACTTTGCTTTTCAGAAAGAGCTGTTCCAGGGAGTTACACAGCGCACCTCGTCTGCGGAGACGGGCCGTGAGCTTCGGGGAGAGAGTGTTTCTGCTCTGCGGTCATGTCAGTCCTCCTGGCACAGCCTCGCGTGACAAGGCACAAGTGATGGCTGCTGCACGATCTGAACGGAGTGATCTCTTCCCCGCCACGCGCACGGAGGGGCGTGGCAGGACGCACGCTCCAGGAGGCTGCACGGCTGTGCGCAGGCCTCCGTGCGCTGCTCCCTCGAAGCCCTGTGGAACCTTACAGTACTGTGTTATGGCTTGAGAATTCTTTCTTACCACTGCTAGCAGTGGGAAGGGTAAAGTGTTAGCAACACGAATGGGAGCAAGTGGAACTTGCAAGATGTGGAATCATTATTCGAGAGAAACTCAATCAATTTTCTGCCCCTTAACAGTCCCATTACAATGTTTGAACCTGAACTGTACAATCAAAGCAATGTATATTTTTGTCAAAGACAATTTTGGATAAGTCACTCTTTGGTAAACTCAAACCAGTTAAACAAATTCACGAGTACAAAGAACTCTGTGTAAAGAAGGTTAAGACCGACACGGTGACAAGGACGGGACATCGGAGGTGCCTGCCCCAAGTGCTCCCCGCCTCGTCTGATGTCTGGCAGACACTCTGCAGACCTCCCGGGAGGCCTCACGCCTGAGACAGGAGGTTCCTACCCTGAGCCTCACCTCTCATGTCCTACATTTGGGCATTTCTTGTCACAAACTTAATTTTGCATCACAACACAAATTTTTGCATTTAATTCTTAAAAGAAAAAAATCAAAACCAAACTTATTCGTGTAAGGGGAAAAAAGCCACAAACATTTACCTGAAACCCCAGAATACATTTAAGTGGGTAAACACTGGGGGCCCCGCCTCCCCTTGAGGCACGCGGCTTTGACAGGAGCTGAGCAGATGCTCCAGGGAGAGAACGAGCCCCTCGCTTAGGCAGTTTGACAGGAGAAGGCAGAGTATACCCGATTCAGCAGAGCCGCCCTCGGGAGCGGCAGTGACACTGCTGCGTGGCGCCGCAGTCCACCTGTGAACGCACCCCGTGTGCTGAGGTCATGCCACCGCACAGCTACCACTCCCGGGGACGATCAAACACGAGGGCCTGAACGACTCCTTTTTCTCAAAATAACCCCCTCCCCCTCCCCCTCAATTCTTGGCATTTTAAGGACCAAAAAAGCACGGAAAACCAGCAAACGTCTATTTTTGTGTTCCTTTAACTCCTAGCTTCTGAGGTTGGTCTTTCTGCTTGTTTTCTTTGAGGTGGTTTGTGCTGTTCTCTGCGGAGGAGGAGACACACTGGCTGTGAATTTCAGAGCCAAGGTCTCGGGCAGAGAGTCGGGGGGCTGACCCCCCAGAGGCAGCTGCCACCCGGCTGCTGCAAGATTGCTCTGTCAGAGGGTACAGTCCCTGGGCGATCTCGTGAAGCCCGTTTGCCTGCTAGGAGCACACACGTGAACCTAACGGAGAACTGAGGACATTTCCTAAAGCGCTAATAAAACATTATTCGAATAGGTCTATGTTTTTATACAGTAATGTGTTTGCCAGCACATGCTTTTGAGGTCTTTTTTCAAGCTATAAACTTGAGAGGAAAAAAATTGTAATTCACTATTACCATTTAATTTCACATTTTCTACAACTATACTGACCTAAAAGATACATAACATAAAAATAGCACCACGTGACCAAAATAAGAAAGAGGTGACACACACAGATTTGGTGACACACAGAGTATCTCAGAGGGCTTTGAACTGTTGGTTTCTTTAAGCAGGAGACACTGAGAGTGGGGGAGCCTTGGAGGCTCTCGTTAGCACACACGATACTGAGAGAGATATATTGCTTGCAATTCCCATAGAGTATATCTTTACAAAAGTACAAATTCCAAGTTCTGCAGTTTCCCTGGGAACTGCATGTAGAAAAAGTTGCTGTGCACCTGAACTGGCTGTTTGGGGAAAAAAAAAAAAAAAAAAGGAAGAAAGAAAGAAAGGAAAAAACCCACAACACTGCTTGGAGAATTTTGTAGACAGAACTACAAATCCCTTTCCTTTAGTGCGAGTAGTAACTCACGGTGGAGAGTGATTTGATTTAGTTACCTGGTATGTATGTTTCTACAGTACGGAATGAAGGTAGATTCGGAGGCCAGTAAAAACATTGCAAACCACTGCTCCTTTGGGGTTGGCTAATAAAACACTACACTATGTCAAAAGGTCAGCACCACGGGTCCAGTTTACCCACTGGACAACTAACAAAAATTCCAAATGGTTTCCAACTAGAGTTGAATACATTTTATGGCATTTGGTTTATGTATTTGTTACGAAGCAGAGCTCTGAACACTGTGATTTGCTTTGCTTGCTTTTGGACACAATGATTAATATATATGAAAACCTATTAACATTCTTTCATAAGGGAAATAAAGGGGCAAAACCCTAACACATTAGGTAGGGATGAGACAGAGTCAAAAGCTCTGTTCACATTGTATTAAATTATATATTCTTCTTACATTCACCTCAGCCAGAATAAAACCGAATTTGAGAATGTATATATACTATATATAATAATCACTTTATTATATATATATATATATATAAATTGCCTAACTACTCCGTAAAAGTAACTTTAAATTAGAAAAGGTTACCCATTTATATCAGCTGACGGCATCTCAGTCCCTCTCACGGAAGTGACTGGTGGCAGGGAGTGACGGCCCCAGCGAGAGAGTATGCCTCTTGGCAGAGACTAGAGGGCCAACCAGTTGGCATAGCTAAGTCACTGGCAGATTTTGGATTCAGAGTTCGGCCAAAGAGGAATACTGTCAGCCTGTGTTTTCCCTGGATATGATGCCCTTCATGCTTTGAGCTCCTTGGGGGAGGGAGAACGAGGAAAAGGATAAACACGGTGAAGTGCTCCTTCCAGAAACCTCAGAAAAACTGCCGAGAGACCAAGAGATTTCCAGATGGCTGGGGGAACTAAAGATTACAATGAAGCAAATCACAAATATTCATTGATTTGTGTGCTTTGTGTGGGTGCACTTCTTTACCATCTTAATCAGGAGCATCGGACACTGTGTGAATTTCCATCCGGGAATCTAGGGCCATCTCGGAGGCCGATGCGTCATTTTCTAGTTTCTGTTCCACATACACATCTGTTCTCTCGGGGGACTCAATGCGACTCCTGACCTCAGCGACCCCCGGGTGGTTTTTCCGCAGGTGCTGGTTGAGGGTACCTTGGAATGGAAAGCACTTCCCGCAGATCTCACAGCGGAACGGTTTATCATCAGTGTGGCCCCGGATGTGGTACTCTAGTTGGTCCTTCCGCGTGTACTTCTTCCCGCAGAACTTGCACACAAAGGGGGTGATTCCCATATGGAGTCGCATATGCCTGTCGAGGCTGCCTTTCTGGTTGAAGGACTTTCCACAGTAAATACAGATCAACCTCTCGTTGTATGGGTACCAGTGCCCTCTCACACTCCTCTCCCGGGGACTGCTCTCGTACCCGGGGTTACTCATCACAGCTTCGCTGTCTGAGCCCTGCACCAATCCCTGCAGATCACTGTGCAGATGGACAGACAGAGCCCGCTTTTGGCGGGCACGTCCTCCCCGGAAACAGCTCAGCATGGATCTGGATGGGCTGGAATTACTCAAACTTCCAAAAGCTTCGGATACGCTGGCTGGCTGCGAGGCTGCCTGGGAGTAAGAATACGCGTGCTGGAGCACAGAACCATAGGAGCCCACATTCACCGCCACGACTTGCTCCCCATCGACCATCTCGGTGTGGTAGCCGTCGTCTCCCAGGGAGGAGCTGTCGGAACAGCTGGGCCGGTCGGACTTCTCCATCTTCACCTTCACCTCGGTGATCTGGCTCTCCCGCACCAGCAGGTCCCCTTGCTCGTGGTCCCCCTCTATCTGAATCTCATACTCGGAAACGCTCCCACTGCTCCCTCGGTCCGAGTGCCCTTCCTCCTGCAGGCGGCTGCGCAAGGCTTTGCTGGGCGTGGTCTCCACCCGCAGATCACTGCCGGAGGCGGGCTGCCGTACCTGAGAGCAATAGGGAGGGGAGATTTCGACCGGGTTGGCAAAGAAGCTGCCATCTTTAACCCCGTTTCGACTCTCGGGAGTCTCCTCAGCACCGACGGTCACGGAGTCAACATCTCCGACACTGATTTTTGAATGGATGCTCTCCAGGATCTGCGTGCACTTGTCGATGACACACTGCATCTGAAGAAAGCTGGCTGCCGTCAGAAAACTGACAACGTCCTTCAGCTGCAAGGACATTCTTCCAGTGTAACAAAATGAAAGCAACTGTTCAAACACATTGGGATTCTTAATCACTGATATTGACAAGCCACTCATGGTACTTAGTGCCGAATGGTCCCGGAAATACGGGGAGCTGGCAGCAAGGACTGCTTTGTGGGCTCGGAACGGCTGACCCTGAATGTGGACAATGATGTCGCATAGTTTCCCTTGCAGGCGGAGTTCGTTTAGCTGGCTCAGAACGGTGCTGCTGTACTCGGGCACGTCAAACTGAATAAAACTGCTGCTGTCCATTTCTACTGACGTGAAGTGTAATCTGCGGAGAGAGAAAGTTTCATAATTCACCAACGACTCCTGAGTGCAAGCAGCAGAAGCACAAGCTGGCAAAATAACGCCACTACCACTGCAGCTACTGGACCTTCTCGGGCCCACCGAGCATTCTTCCTCTTACCTATTTTCAGTCTTTCATGTCCTGGTTAATCCACCTGGAGACAAATAACCATATGACTGACTGGCCTAGTATCCTGTCTAACTTTCCTCTTGATCAAAATTCAAACATATACAGTAGGGTCATTTCAGTTTTGAAAAAGCACTTGGCACAATTTCAGGAAATACCTCCGTTTCACTTAGTTTTGAGGATTTTTACTTTGTAAAAAAGATTAATTCAATGTTCTGCCTTATCTGTACATTTCCAATTTGTGTTTATCAATATACAGCATACTGGAAACAATGAATGGAGCTGAACACTATTTAGAATTTGAGTTGTCTTAATGCACATCTTCCCCCTTCAGCTCTGCACACCTGTGTATCTTTTGGGGTTGGTGATTCTTAGAGCAGCGCTCAGTCCCTTCCAGGGAGTTTTTGGGGCTAGCAGACAACTGGTCCTTGACCATTTGGAATGGACCAAATATGCTCATGGATGTCTTTGATAGCACCGAATTCCAAGCACCTTTTGGCCTATACCAAATGTACCCATGGACATTTTGGACAGGAATGAATGTCCCACGAGGGTTTAGACAGCAGGGGCGAAAAGAACGCCGGCTACCATAGGCGTGTGGTCCCCCGCTGGTGCTAGTGCTCACACACCGGTACACCCAGCACAGCGGGCTGGCTGCCTCTCGCCTAGAACCCGCAGCAGTGAATTACTCAACAATACGGAGGTGTAGACAGCCCAGGCTGCATTCTCTGGCCAAAATAACAAAATTAGATCTAACTTTTATTTTTTAAAACCCATCTGATAGAAATGTAAACACTTCCTGGGTAAGTGCTAAATCAAAAGCAAAATCTAAAAGGAATAACACTGTTTAGAAAATTTAAAATCTTACATCAGATCTGTAAAGGTTTAGGAGTGAAGTTTGCTAGTCTTCAACTTACTTGAGAATGCATCAGAAAAAGAGACGAAGAAATATGTGAAAAAGCAAACAGTAAAATGTTAACAAGTATAGAGTCTAGATGGTGGATATATAGGTGTTTACTTACCTATACAGAAATATACAGAAAATTAGACTTTTCTGTATGTTTAAAATTTTTCAGAATGAAATGTTGATGGTTTTAAAACAACAAAATCTAACGGAAAATCAGTGCCTGAAAACTGTTATTAAACAATAAAGAATAAAAATAAAATTGCTCGTGAAGTTAGAAAAAGAACCCCAAAAAGCAAAAAACTAGTTACTATAGAACAGCATATAATTTTAAATGACAAGACAACAGGCAGTTAAACCGAAGACTCCTTCAGGAGAGGATTACTCCGTCTGTGTGACCAGATCTTGTCAGTGTTTACTGTGTCAGAGTTGAGCGGAAACATTTTAGTTATTAAAGAGCAATGCTGTGCCCCGATTTATCCTAGATTTATCACTGAAGTCCATTTGAAATCTGTACAGAATGAACATATTTTTAGGGTAACATAAACTGGAAGAATTAAATAAAAGAGAAGCAGAAGAACCAGAGCCCGAATGACCTCCAGGCCACCCTCACCGTCCTGGATGCATACTGAAACGTTCAAAGCGTTTTGGTTCACACAGCACAAGTCTGATACCAGAAAATGGCAAACAGCGTAAAGAAGAAAACTGCCAACTTCACTAAGTAAGCAGATTTGAAAGTCCTAAAGGAAATACTAGCAAACATAACCTATTAAGAAAATATCATAGTATGGCCAAATGTAAGGATGGCTGTATGTTAGGAAATAAATATAATTTGCAACATCAGTAAGTCAAAGAAGAAAAACCATATGGTCAAATCAATGCAATGCCAAAATGCATTCCAGAAAGCTAAATGTCCTTTTCGATGGGGCAAAAATACTCAATAAGGTAGGAATATAACAACAGTTTCTTAATATGACAGTATCTACTGCAAACCAATGGCAACATCATTCTTTGAGAGGCAACATTATATCTGCATTTCCCCACAGTGTACTTAGGAGTGCATGCCCATGAGTGAGCCCCATACCCCTACCTCCCAGGGATTAAAAACACATTAGCATTATAACCCATCTGAAAAATCCTGCAGACAAGAATTCCATTTAACTCAGTAGTTTGCAAACTCTTTAGGCGTGAAGCTCTTCTCTCAAGGTATACATATTAGTGTTCCTTGGTGCACATGCTAGTAAACACTTTTGTGAAGGTGTTCCCATAGTGCCTGGGAGGATACAAGATGGTCTGTCCATCACTCCTCTTACTTCACATTGTTCTGGAAGTCCCAACCAAAGTGACAAGACAGAGAAAATTAATGCACACAGCCATTTAAAGAGGCAGCAAAATTATGACTCAAGGCACATATAACTACTTACATAGAAAACATAAGCACTCTGTTCGAATTAAGAACTAGTAAGTGAAGGGCTTCAAAAATTACTGTACACAGAAAGGCAGTTAGTTACACTGATGACAAGCTGCAACCAACAGCAGCAGCAGAACCATACGACACCTGGGGACGAGGGGAGCAACAGAAAATAGGATCTACAAGAAGAAAATGACCAGACTTTAAGAAGAACACACACAGCATGCTGCTGGCAAGAAGACTCAATACTATAAAGATGGATATTTAAAAAAAATAATAATTTATAAATACAATGCAGCACAATGGCGTATTTTCTTAAAAACTTGACAAAATAATTTTAAAATTATTCTAGAACACTGCTGTCCAATTAATATATGCGTAATGTTTTCTAACTGTTACTGTTTAAAAGAAAACCCTAAGATTAATTTTAATAACTTTTATTTAACCCAGTATATCTAAAACACCATTTCAACATGTAATCAATATGAAAAAAAATTAAGTGTTTGAAATCTGATGTGTGTTTTATACCAACAGCACATCTCAATTTGGAATAACCACATTCCAAATGCTCAACAGCCACACGTGGCTGGTGGCTCCCATACTGGACAGTGTAGATCTAGAATAAATACTGAAGATGTTCTAGAAAAAGAAACATGCAGCCATAACATGTAGATGTAAAAATGTCTGATCAGGCTGTAATTCATCAGGTAAGTATGTAGAGTGTCTTCCCTGTGCTAGGCACTGGGGACCCAGGAGAGCTACAGTTCTCTTGTTCTAAATTATGATAAAAGCAATGAGATCTTTCCTAATGGGGGAGTGGTCAGTGAAGACCACTCAAACAAATGATGATCCAGCTGAGACCTAAGGAGAGGTTAGCCAGATATGAGGGGAGAGGGTGGCTGCAGGGAAACGGTCCAGTTTCCCAGGCAGAAGGAACCACGTGGGCAGAGGTGGAAGTAAGTCCACGTCGGGAAGGAAGGAGGGGCCGTGGCACAGCTGGGATGTGAAGCCAAAGCGCAGAGGCCACATGGGCGGTGGAGGCAGAAATCGGATGAGGATGGGCCATGTGGACCATCGCCAGTAGTGGGAACGGCGGGATTCTCGAAACAGATGCTGCTTGAATAATACAAATAAATAACAATAAAGTTAGACCCCCTCTTCATAACACACCCCCCAGAAAACTTCTAGAGAAAACATATTTAAGCCCCCAAAGACAGACCACAAGAAGAAACGGAGATTTAGCCATAGAAGTAAAAACTTACAAACCATCTTTTATCAAAAAAGGACACGTTATTAAAAACAGAAGTATAAAACTCTCTTACAAATCAATAAAAGCCAAATATAACAACTGGAAATTAGGCAAAGAATATGAACAGATGCTTTTAAGAAACTGAAAAAATAGATTTTAAACATAGAGATAAAATACTTGACAACTCCATCGATAAAGGAATAAAAATTGACATGAGACACACTCTTCTTTCTCAAACTGCCAAGACTCAGAAGCACAGCCCAGCCAGCACTGCTAGAGAGAGGACGCGCTCCCCGGCGGTTCTGGGAGGCAAATGTAAGAAAGGCCCACGGTGGGCATGTCTCTCTTTAAAAAAGTATTTTGCAATGACAGTTGACATATAGTTTTATATTAGTTTCAGATGTAAAACAGAGAAGTTAGGCATTTATATTAAAATGGGCATTTCTCGCCCTGGCTGATATAGCTCAGTGGATTGAGAGCACAGGCTGTGAGCCAAAGGGTCGCAGTCGATTCCCAGTCAGGGCACATGCCTGGGTTGTGGGACCAGTCCCCAGTGGGGGCCATGTGAGAGGCAACCACACATTGATGTTTCTCTCCCTCCCTTTCTCCTTCCCTTCCCCCTCTCTAAAAAGAAAGAAAGAAAGAAAATTATTTTAAAAAATGGGCATTTCTCTTAACTCAGCAGTCTGGACCATAAAAAAAAAAAAAAATCAAATCACGGGCCCTGGCTGTAGTCAGGGCACATGCCTGGGTTGCAGGCCAGTTCCCAGCAGGGGACTCACAAGAGGCAACCATACATTGATGTTTCTCTCCCTCTCTCCTTCCCTTACCCTCTAAAGATAAATAAATAAAATCTTTTAAAAAATCATGGCCATAGGCATAAGAATTTATCCATAAGTCTATTCAATTATAACAGCTAAACAATGTTAACAACTTAAATATCCAAAACAGATGATTAAAGTCTAGTACGTCTATATGCTGAATACGGTTATTAAAATGATTGTGAAGAAGAACACACTTTGCTCCTCAAAATGTAACCCCCTTAAGGACAGGGATTTTCACCTGCTTTATTAACCACCTGCCAGATTACTGCCTGGCACACAGCAGACACTCACTAAACATTTGCTGAATGAACACTTAATACCACGGCAAAAAATCAGGTAACAGATCAACTGCAAATGAGCATAAGGGGGTCTTTCTGGGTAATGGAGATAGTCTAAAACCAGATTACGGTGACAGCTGTACAACTTCATATAAATTTATTAAAAATCACTGAATTATACATGTAAGATGGG